AGTGTAACGTGAAAAGATAACTCTCTCTTATTCAATTGTAAAAGGAGGCTACATCTATTTATACAAGCCATACAAGGACTTTTTTATCTTGTTTGAAACAAAAATCACAATTGCATTTAATTTAGTCTTGTTTCGGTATTGTCCAACGAGAAACATTTGAGGCTTGAACTGGTTGTATTGATCTGAATTAGTTTGTTGGTGTCTGAAAACATGTGATCCACTCACTCGCCTCTCTTCCAGCTTTTATAATGTATTGCTTCCAATCGCTACTCTGTTTTGGATAGAGTAAAAGATTTATACTCTTTCAAATCTCCAAAGAATCCACAAGGGAAGTTGTCTCACCATATCTATTAAATTTTGATTGTTATGATTTTTTATGATGGCTTGAAATTTGCTTTCAAAGGAAGAACTCGAATCCAGAATGATTGTGCTCATTATATGGGAGCTTTTCCAAATAGCTTGGCATATCCACATCGAAGATAGATGATTTTAAGATTCTTCTTCTGAACAACATCTTCGACATTAAGAATCTAGGATTATTCCTTAATGAGGATTGTACCTGCAACCATCACATAAGAGAGAATACCCAAAGAAAATGGCAAATCGTTGGTGCAGTTTGTAATCTCGAGATAGCTTCTTTTAAACATGTTTCACCTCGTGGAGTTTGTTTCATCGCATCTTTGTTTAATCGCAACATTGTTAAGCCTTGTTGATAGGAAGCTCCTAAAACTAAAAAAAATGGTGTATTTTCTTAGTTATGAAAGAGTTTAACTTGTTTTCAAATTAAGGTATTTTATAAAGATAAAAAAATATATTTAAGTTAGATTAATTAGACGACAAAATAGAATAGTTTTTTTAAAACACTTTTTTAATTATACACCCGCAAAATTTATCTAGATTAGGTAAATACCCGTGTTACACCGCAAAACGTTGTTTGTAAACTTTTTAAAAATATTATTTCAAGTGTCGAATAAATAGAATTAGATTGGATTAATCTTGAAGCAGGCAAAAACAATGCTTTTCATATGTGAAAATCTAATTTTTAAAAATGCTATTTCAAGTGTCTAATAAATAGAATTAGATTGGATTAATCATTCCATTATAACACATGAAGTTAAGATTGTTAGGTGAATATATAAAATCTAAAGTGGTAATCATATTTTACACAGATATGCAGGAAGCTTCGGAATGTTGTCCTACATTAGTTAGTGGTTTAATGAACCACAATACAGATAGGTTGGATTAATTTAAGTCAATTTCTTATGTCAATAGTGAAGCGTTATAAATATTTTCTTTAAAAAACTCATATAAGTTTTTGAGGGATTTTATATCGAAGAATTCAGAGAAATTGGTAGAGATGTTGAATTGAAGGCATTAAAAACATGTGTAATCAAGTTTTCTTGATGATTTTCTTAGGTTTAACTTCACTCTTGTTTCTCATCGACCGCACCTATGATTTTAACGTCATCTTATTTATTAAACAGAAAAGCATAAATTGTTAAAATTCTCTAATTGTATATTTCAATGAGATATAAGTTGTACGTAGAGTCAGTTTTAGCACTAAGTTTGAGGACAAATTGAAAGGTTTGAGCGAGAAGAGCAGAGAAATTAAGGAAATCAAAATAGATTTCGTCAAATTAAAAATAAGTAACTTGCCTATATATCATCTCCATAAACTGATGTGTATTGATAGTATGAACTAAAAATAGCTTTGTTTTTAATTCATTTTTCATTTCTCCGCAGTAATGCCAGATTTTCTTAACAGGAAAATTGTTATGTTAACATGGGATGAGACTCTGCTGTTAGAGCATCCGTATTGGAGACATTTTGTATGTGTCTTTAAATATAAAATTATTAAAAGTTGAGTAAAAGGAAGAAAAAAAGTGTTTTTGGTTGAAATAATGTGGTGTATTGAAATATAAAATTAATAAAATTTGAGTAAAGAGATGCGATAGTGGGTATTATTGGAGAGAGGATGTCTCGGGGAAGACAAAGTTGGAGAGAAAATTGATGAAAGTTGGAGTATGTTTAAATATAAAATTAATAAAAATTGAGTAAAAGGATGAAAGAGAAGGTATAAAGTTGAGTAAAAGGAAGAAAGAGTGTGTTTTTAATATTTTTTTATTTAGAGACATCCACATTTGGTCTCCAATGTGGATGGTCTTATAGTAGTTATGGTGTTAATATAGTACTGATTTTTATTTCCGTCATGTCAATTGATGGATAGGGTATTCTCAAAACAAATTAAACGCAACGAACGGATACAGAAAGTCGTAGTGTTTAGGTCAACGCTTAAAAAAAGAATAAAGATGATAAATAAAGAAAAACCTACTTGGTTTTCTCTAATAATTTGATTTCATTA